TTTCTTAAACACCTTATTTCTGTGCTACCTTAGGAAAGTCTCTTAATCTCTCTGGGCCTATTTCCTCATCTGTAGTTGGACTAGATGCCTCCAAGGATGATATGATGAAGTCCAGTAATGTCTCAGTCACTACTTTATGACAGCCAATTGCAAAGTAAGAAAATTCTGTTTATTAGCAAATTCTTCCTAGCCTTTCCTTAGCTGAAATCTTCCTCCCTGTAACTTGGACTCTTGGCCCCAATTCTACTTTCTGGAGCTACGCAGAATAAATATTTTAGTTATCTGAAGACAATGACCAATTCCTTCAACTGATCTCCAACTGAAAGGCCTTAGACTTTCTTTGAAGGACAGATCTTTCAAGCCCTCTGCCCCTACTGGCTACCTTCCTCTGAATGCTTTCCAACTTTTTAATGCATTCCTAAAAGGTATCACCCATAACTGGATACTTTTCTTGCTATAGGCCCATCTCTTCGTCTAGCCCCATTCTGATCAATAGCTGCTTTCATTCAACTAACGCCTCTTATCTTAGGAAAGAATTGGATAATGAATTTACACTAAAGAACTAATGCTTAATAGTAAGATAAGAAGGTAGGGAGGAGCATATTCTCCAGGAGGGAAATGCTAATTGCATGCTCCTGGATTTTGGCCTGCCATTCACCAAGGGTGATCTTATTTCCCATTTTGGACAGCATTGTTCTAGAATTTATCTGTAATTTCATATTTGCTACAATGGCTCTCTGGGCCATTACTTGCCCAAACTCAAATATGTCAAGAATGGCCTAATATCATAACTACCAACTGATACTCTGTTGCCTTCTTACTCTTAGGATTGCTTCAGTGCTCCCATGATGGGTTCATGATTTTATCATTTGGAGGCCCACTTGAATCTGGAACAATTTTTGCCCATGTTCTCCCTCATACACTTGGTTTTTTTCCTGTGTGGACAACTAAGCCAACATTTTTGAGCAATTATGGATCTCATTTGGCGTAGCTAGGTGGTACAGTAGGTAGACCACTGAGCTTGTGGTCACGAAGACTCATGTTCGCGAGTTCAAATCTGGCCTCAGATACTTACTATCTGTGTGACCCTGGGCAAGTCATTTAACCCTATTTACTTTAGTTTTTCATCTGTCAAATGATCTGGAGAAGAAAATGGCAAACCACCTCAGTATCTTCACCAAGAAAACTCCAAATGGGGTCACAAAGAGTCAGACACGACTGAAATGAATACACAACAACGGAAGATCTCATTTAGGAAACTGCAGTGATCTGGGGCCTGATGCAATCAGTACTATATCACCAGCAAACAGGAGCATTTGTAGGCCATCATCATCTATAGGGATTCCATCTTTCATTTGGATTATACCCTAGACAGCCTTCAGGGCAACGGGAACTGCTTTGGCAAGCATATGTTCCCTTGTTCTATGAGTCACTTGATAAACAGGAGTCAGCAAATACAATTATCTTTATTGTTGCCCCTTTAAAAACATCTCCTCTGAACCTCAGTTTCCACATCTACAAAGTGAGGGTGTTGGTACAAGGGCAAAGGCATTGACTCTGCAGTCAGAGGACCTAGGTTCCAACCACCCTTCTGACATTTATATGGCACTTAGGACCTTGGGCAAGTCACTTAACCTCCCTAGACCTCAGTTTCCTCAACAGCAAAATTATGGATCGGACTAGGTGGGCACCAAGGTCCCTTCCAGTTCTAGATCTATGTTCCTGTATAGGAGCTTAACATATGAATAAGAAATACCAAGTTTGAGGAGGGTCTTTAAAAAAGCATTTCACTCTAGTGAATCAATTTTTTTTTGTAGTAAAAAAACCCCAGTAAACACCATGGAATCTTGTCTCTCAATCAAGTAATCAACAAGCGTTTATTTAATACCTCTGCTGGTACAAGGCAAAAATGAAACAGTGTCTGCCCTCAGGGAGCTTACATTCTCTCAGTTCATGGTTGATTGCTCCACTTCTTTGACAATCATGGGAGTGTGAAGATGTGAGCTGCTGTAAGAACATCATTTGTGAAAGCCTGACTATTCTCCCAGGATGCTCCCAGGATGCTGTAGTTTCTTTAAAGAGACATTCTGAAGTGTGATTTGGCTCTTATCTCTGCCTAACCCCTCACCCCAGCCCTCCTGGCAGCTTAACCCTTTATTAACTGTTCCATTGCTGACAAGGCAGCATCTCCTTTCTTCAGAAATGACTTGTCCCTTAAACGTGGCAACACTTCCAGTGACCTTTAGATTGTGCCTTGAGCTTGAAATACAGAAGGTAAATTTACTTCCAGTTCCCAGAGGGATGCTACAGTGATACCAGCTGGAGGAAGGGTAAACACATGATCTGGCTAGTTTGGAAAGAGCATGAAGAATTTAGAGATGATATTCACAGGACTTCTTTTCTTTTTGGAAGATGGCACCAGGCCACTGGTCCTTGCCACCATTCCCCCCCTAAAAATATCTACTAGAAAACTACCCAGAGCTTCAAGGTAATTTTATAGGATCAAGAAACATAGAATATGTGATGTAGTGGAAAGAACCTTGTACCAGAAGCCAGGAAATCTGCTATTTAGTCTCAGATCTGTCACTAACTCTCCCTTAGGCAAACTATACTGAGTATCTGATTCCTCCTCTATAAAATTAGGGAAGGATGATCACTAAGTTTCCTCTAAGCAATGACTTCTAGAATATCTGACACCAGGATCCTCCTTCACACCATCAGCTGGTTTGCTTCTACGGCCATCAAAGGTGATGATACTGATCCCTAGGAGAGGGGCCGTTCCTTGTCTACACATCAACACCCCTGAGACCAGATGCTTCCCTGCCTCTCTTTGCGTACTGTAGCCAGTTTCCATGGAGCCACTTCTCCTTCAGAATAAGGCAATAGAGAGGTTATCAGTCTTCAGGACTGAATGAGAGATGCAGATGTACATAGTTAAGTGATCCTTTTTTTTCTCCCTCCTTTTTAATGTATATCCATGGGCCCTGTCAACCTCACAGAGCTGCTATGTGGATCAAATGAAATCATGCCACTGGGGCTGTGGGATTTAGAGCTAGCAGGGACCTATTTAGAGATCATCACATTTAACTTTCTCAATTTAGACACAGGAAACTGACACCCAGAGAAGGAAAATGCCCTGCCCTGGAATCACGCAAGTAGTAATACTAATGATAGCGTGTATTTATATAGGTTTACAAAGCACTTTTCAAATATTATCTCATTTCATCCTCACCACAACCACGAGAGGGGGGTGCTATTATTAATTCCATTTTATAGATGAGATAACTGAGGCAGACAGCAGTTAAATGATTTATATTGATGTTAGGGAAATGAACGATAGATTGCCTGAGAAACATAATTTGGACCAACTAGGGTTTATTGAATTCACCAGCAGGGGGGTCTCATCTGAAGAGGTAAAGACTCCCTGAATGAACAGCACACAAGGTCCACATAGCTTTTAGAGAGTGAGGAACAGGGTGGGGGGATGGGTCAAAGGTTGATTGGTCAAAGTCCCTTTTGCTAGGGCCTAAGGTTGATTTTTGTTGTTGTTGCTGTTGTTGTTGTTGTTGTTTTGGGGGGCAATTGGGGTTAAGTGACTTGCCCAGGGTCACACAGCTAGTAAGTGTCAACTGTTTGGTCTGAGACAGGATTTGAACTCAGGTCCTCCTGACTTCAGGGCCGGTACTCTATCCACTGTACCCCCTAGTAGCCCCGAAATATGAATTGCTGTTCTTTTTTTTTTTTTTTTGGTGAGGCAATCAGGGTTAAGTGACTTGCCCAAGATCACACAGCTAGTAAGTGTCATGTGTCTGAGACTGGATTTGAACTCACGTCCTCCTGACCCCAGGGTCGGAGCTCTATACTCTGCACCACCCAGCAGCCCCCTAAAGTTGATTTAGTACAACAATCCTTCCACCCAGTTTCAGGGTTAGAGGTCTCTGCACAACAGGATGCAAGGGGGCGCTAGACTGCCTCTCAGAACAGGCCGCACGATAGGACATCATGGAATGTCGTATTCTGAGTCCCATTGCAATCGCCAATAAGAGAACATAGACATAGATGTGTGAGCAAAATGGAACGATCTTCAAAATGGGGTAGCTAGGGGTCCATACTTGCTCAGGTTCCATAGTTGGTAAGTGTCTGAAGTCCAAACTCAGACCTTACGAACGGACAGGCCAATGCTTTATCCACTGCACCATGTAGCTACTTACAGCGGTGAGCAGCGATGTCTTCCAATACCAAATCTAACACTCTTTCCGTTGAATTATTCTGGAAGTAGCAGCCAGGGAGCTAGAAAAGACTGGGTCAGTCATAGAGGCTTTGCTGGAGAGGTCACCTTCCCCTGGAGAAATCAGGGAAGGCTTTGTGGAGGAGCTGGTAATGGTGCAGGTCTCTATGTGTAGCTAGGGCTCTGGTTTCTCTCATCTCAACACCAGTTTCCCTCTGAATGGCCTTGAGGACAGTAAAAAGCAGAATGATGTCACTGGTGTGTTAAGAAAGCTCCCTGCAACAATAGTTAAGTGTATAAATCACTTAGATGCAGAATTTGGCTTTGGGTCCTTGGAAGAAAGTCCTGCTTGTCAGCATAACATTGCTCATGTTAACCATAAATACCTGCTCAGATGGATTTTCGTTTACTGAGTGAAAAAGCTCATGAAACTCTGGAAATACTCCTTGGAAGTGATTCGGATTCTTCTGGTCCAAAGAATATCATCAGCCACTTGCTTCCATACTTTAGGCATTTGGGATTTCATCCGTGTGAGTAATAATAAGTCAAATTTCTACGGCAGTTTGAGCTTCACAAAATGCTGCCCCCTCCCACCCTTAAAGCCATTCTGCAATACTGATGTTATTGTCCTTGTCTATGATCACACAGAAAGTCAGTGACAGGGCCAAGATTCAACCCAGGTCTCCTCCCTACAATTCCAGGGCTATGCCTTTCAACCTCAAAGCTTCTGTTTATTCCCTCTACCAACATGGATCCTAATTCCTTTACCTAGGAGAGAATCAATCTGCGTTTCTGGGACTGAAAAAAACAATCATCTCCTGGTGACCATTTGGTGATGATGCCGCCTGCATTTAGTGAGGCTGGTGCTGGCATGATGAGGCCAAGTGAGTTAATGCGTCCAATTAAAAATCTTTAAAGCTTGGGAAGACCTACCAGAGTGTCTACTCCAATGATACGGCTCTTAACACCTAAGGGTCGCTTCCATTGCAGAAGGGGGAATCAGGAAGGAACTTGATTCTAGAATCATCACAGTAAGTCCCACCTCATCATTTACCTGTCTATATTGTTAAGATTTACAATAAGGCAGAGCGTAAGCTCTGTCATACACATTCATAATATCTCTTATGTTGGTGTCCTCCTTTCCCCTTTCACAGCCACCACCCTACTTCAAGCCCTCATTACAATAGACTTCTTAAAGGCCTCCCTGCCTCCTTTCTCTCTGTTTAATCCATCCTGCACACTGCTGCTAAATCAAGCTCCTTAATGCATAGATCTTATTATATCACTCTCTTGCTCAAAAAATTTTGTGGTTCTCCATTAGTTATTAGAAAAGATCCAGATCCCTCAACCTGGCATTCAAGGTCCTCCATAATCTGGTTCTAATCTATCTTTACAGCCTTAACAATTCACTTTAACATACCTTGTCCTTCAGCCAAACTGAAACACTCCCCATATCCTACACACATACTATTCTTTCCCACCTCCACACCTTTATCTATGCTGTTTCCTAGATTTTTTTTTTTTTTTTTTTTTGTTAGGCAATGGGGTTAAGTGACTTGCCCAGGGTCTGAGGCCAGATTTGAACTCAGATCCTCTGACTCCAAGGCCAGAGCTCTATCCACTGTGCCACCTAGCTGCCCCTCTAGATTTGTAATACCCCTTCCCCCAGCTCTTTCTTTTGACATCCTACTCACCTTTGAGGCCTTACTTCAGGAAGCCATCTTTGATAATCCCTAGTAACAACTAGGTGGCATAGTGGATAGAGTGCTGGACCTGGATTCAGGAAAACTCACCTTCCTGATGAGTCCATCTTGGGTGTTCTTCAAATCCAACCTCAAACACTTACTAGATGTGTGACCCTGGACAAGTCACTTAACTCTGTCTGTCTCCGTTTCGTCATCTGTAAAATCAGCTGGAGAAGGAAATGGCAAACCACTCCAGTATCTCTGCCAATAAAACCCTAAATAGAGTCACAAAAAGAAACAACTGAACAAAAATAACAATAGCTTATAAATTCCTTGAGGTCAGAGAACATCTCTAATTTATTTTGGTATCCCTCTCAGTTCCTAGTATATTACATCATATATAGTAAGCTCTTATATATATATTTGTTGAATGAATTAATGTATAACTTCTTGAATGAACAAACAAGTGAATGAATGAGTATAAAGAAGATTCTGATTATACCGTGTTACCTATAATGCCACCCAAACTGAAGTTGCCTGTCCAAGCAGGAGTGGCCCTGCTACTAAAACAGGCAGTATCTGCAAAATATCCTTTTGGTTCAATTAAGCATTTAGTCCTGTCTGTTTTGTCTATATGACACCAACTATTCAGAGAGAGAGAGAGAGAGAGAGAGAGACAGATCGGGTGACGAATCTAACTGGCTCTGTAACATGCAAACAGAGCCATTACTTCTTCAAATTTGAAACTTCATTCATTTTAAAGGTTGAATACTAGTTTACAAGATACTTTTGTACTTTGGGAGGAATGGAGTCAGTCCTTGGCAAAACTTTGATTTAGGGGAAAGAATGCCATCTGCAGTGAGCTCTGATAGTTAGGACATTTTTCCTTATATCTGACCTAGATCTGTCTCTCTAGCTACCACTAGGACCAAGCCAGAAAAAAAAGTCTTATCCTTCATCCACATAATAACCCTTCAAATAGCTGAGGATCACCATCATGATAGTTCCTGAAAGCTTCTGTTCTAGTTCTTTAGAATCTTCTAGATTCTAAATCTCCTCGGTTCCTTTCACCAGTCTTCACATGGTATGATCTCTAGTATTTCACCATCCCAATAATCCTCTGGATAAATTCCAGCTTATCAACATCCTTCCTAAACTGTGGTACCCAGAACCGAGCACAGTGAGTTCCCTCTGGGGTAGTAGGTTTGATCAAGGCAGAATGCAGGGGCCTCATCGTCTCATTCATTCTGGACACCCCCTTCCACCCTCCATCACATCTTTGGGCAGTATTAGCCCCTCTGGCTACCGTATCACACTAAGGACAGGTTGAATTTGCAGTCACGTAAGACCTCCAGATCTTTGCCCCATGAGCTATTGTCTAGCTATTCCTTTACCATTCATAAAATTGAACTCAAGAGTATGGCTTTACATCCACATCGTTCAATTTAATCTTATTTGATGTGGTCATTGTTCTAAACTATCAAGATCCTTTTAGATCCTAAAATTTCCACCTGCGGTGTTAATTGTGCAGATCTGGAAAGCATGCCTTCTATGTATTTTTATTTGTTTAAATAGATCCCTGGGACCTCACTCCAAGTTGATAGCAAACCATTAATGACTACCCTTGGGATGTACTCATTTCCCCATCTAGCAGGCATTGCTCTGCCTTGCCCTCAAGGACAGTATGAGACTCGTCAAATGCCTTGCTGAGAATCCGTATTCATGTCATTTCCCCAGTCTACCAATTAAATTATCCTGTCAGAAAAGTAAACGAAGTTGGACTGGCTAGTCTCAGCCAGAGGGGTGGCATAGTGAGTAGAGTACTGACGGGTGAGCTTGAATCCTGCCTCAGACACTTTACTAGTTGTGTGACCTTTGACAAGTTACTTAACTTCTCTCAGCCTCCATTTCCTTATCTGTAAAGTGGGGATAAAAGTAGCATCTACTTCATAGCATTTTTGTGAGTATCAAATGAGACAATCTATATAAAGTGATTTGTAAACCTGGAAGCACTATATAGCTAGCTATTGTTTATTATGTCTCAGATAAATGTCAAAGGGAAGATGGCGACTTCTCCACAGGTTATATCAAGTGAGGTTGGAGACTTGGTTCTGCCACTTACTATTTTTTGGATATTTTTGGCAAGTCACTTCCTCTTTCCTACTTTGTAAAATTAGAGGCAACATAGCATGGTGGAAAGAGAAAGCCAGGAAGACTGGGGTTCAAGCCTTTGCCTTGACACATATTGACTGTATGGCCCTGGACAGGTCACTTTACATTTCAAACACCCCAGGCACTCTCTAAGACTACGGGTAACTTGCCGAAAAGCTGCCGTATGTATTGATAGAGGCAGTTTCCTCACTGGGAGTTGTCAACATCAATGAAATCACAGGTTCGGTGAAGGTTGGGAAAGGTCATCCCCAAGGTCTCTTCCCACTCTAACATTGTATGGTTCTCTTTCTAGATCCACGAAGATCCATGAAGACACAGCCTGTGCTGAGTTTCCATTTATGCTCCTGAATCTATGGTAGGAATTTGTCAAACGGGCCTTGGCAGAGTGACCTCTCATTATGACGCTCTGTCATTATAAAGACGGAGATTTTCCTTGGCTCTCCCTAAACCACAAAGTGCTTGGTGTTTGCTTCTTCTTTCTGTGACTTCACTGTCCTGCTGGACCCTCAAGCCTTTTGTCTGCCCACTAGACAGAGAATCCTTAGAGCTTAGGACTGGATTATGAGATGAGATAATGACAACAGTGATAACGGACATCTCTAGAACGCTTTTACAGCTATGTTCTCATTTAAAATGGGCAACCTTTGTCTGGTAGAGAATGCCAGTATTATTATTATTATTCCCATTTTACAAATGAGGAAACTGAGGCTTTCTTTTGAAAATGGCTTTCTTTGCCATGAAAAAATGATCCTTGGAAAGAAGAAAGGGAAAAGAAAGTTAATAGGGTGTTGCAATGCAAGATAAATGAAAACACATTTAAAGAGCACCCAGGTCCAGGTGAGCTTTATCTCAGGGCACTGGAAAAACTAGCCCCTAGGAAGTGTCTTATTTAAACTTGTTATCTCCTTCAGCACCAAACAGTGAGTTGCATACAATAAACACTTAAGAAATGTTATTAACTGAATTCAAAGCTAATAGGATGAAAATGAGCTAATTCCTGTTTTGCTGATCCAAATTACTGCCTTCAGCTGAATGTCCTGTGAAGTTTTTACATATACACATATATGTGTATATTATATCCTATATATTACACAGTATGTGTATAGTTATTGTATATCATGTATACTATATATTACATTACATATAATATTATATATACTATATAGCATATATATACTATATATCATATAGCATTATATAGTATGTATAATATACATACATAAACACATATATATGTGTAATACATGTATTATAAAGTTCATTTTTGTTGTTCTTCAGCATATCTGACTCTTTGTGACCCCATTTAATAGTTTACCATTTTTTTCCTTCTCCAGCTCATTTTTTTAAAGGCGAGGAAAGTGAGGCAGAGTTAAATGACTTGCCCAGGGTGACATAGTTAGTGAGTATCTGAGGCCAAATTTGAATTCAAATTTTCCTGACTCTAGGCCTGCCCTCTATCCACTGTGCCACCTAGCTGCCCCTATAAAGTACATATTTATTGTTCAGTTGTATCCAAATCCTTGTGACCCCATGAGAGGTTTTCTTGGCAAAGATACTAGAGTGGTTTGCCATTTCCTTTTCCAGCTTGTTTTACAAATGAGAAAGTGAGGTAGGGTTAAGTGACTTGCCCAGGCTTACACAGCTGGTAAGTGATCTGAACTCACGAAGATGAATCTTCCTGACTCCAGGCCTGGCACTCTATCCAGTATGCTACCTACCTGCTCAAAAAGGACGTCTACACATATATTTATACTCGAATATGGATTTATATGGGTATATACACATGTGCATATATATATATATATATATATATATATATATATATAAAAAAAGCTTAAAACTATGCTTACTTTTGGGATATCATATACATTCATACATAAAAATATATATGTGTATGTATACTTTTGCATATTATATGTACATTTTCATTTCCATGTATACATATATAAAAACTTTCTGTCCAAGGGAATATTTTCTGCACTGAGAAAATCTTATGTAACTTCCCTGTTTCTTTTGAGCATACCAATCTGATTCTAGCCATCCAAATTTTCAATCTATCTTCCTCAATTCTTCATTTTTCGTGCCCCACTCTTCTTTCTCCAATCAATTGCCAGGTCTCATGGATTCTATTCCTACCATATTTGTCACATTCATCTCGTTTCTTCCACTGACTCAGCCACCACCAGAGGTCAGTCCCTCCACCCCTCTAGGACTATGTCAGTGACCTTGTCATTCATTCATTTCCTTGCTTTAGCATTTTCCAGCCTCCAATCAATCCCTCCCTGATTTGCCCAAATTATTTTCCTTAAATTCACATTTAAGTATGTCACTCACCTCTCAAGAGATTTTAATGGCTCTCTTTGCCTCAATTCAAATTCTTCCGTATGGCTTTAAAGCCTTCACAATCTCATTCTAGCCTACCTTTCAAATTACTGCATCTCAGGGACTCTGTTCTATAGACAATTCCTTGAATCACAGAATCACAAAACCACAGAATTTGAGAAGCACTTCAGTAGCCATTTAATCTAACCCACAGAAGCAATCATCTAGCATCTTACCAGTTCTCAGAATCAGCCCATTGAAATTTAGACAGCTCTAATTGTCAAGAAGTTTGGTGTTTTTTTTTTTCTGAAATTAAGCCTAAGTGGGTCTCTTTGCCACTTCTGCCCGTTGGTTTCTGATTCTCTGAGATCTCATACGAGATGTCTAATCTTTCCTCCACATATGGCCCTTCAGATGTTTGAAGATAGCTATCACTGAGTCTTCATTTCCCAGTGCCCAATTCCTTCAACTGATGCTCATATAACACAGACCCAAGGCCCTTCACTAACCTGGTTGTCCTCTCAACACTTTCCAACTTATCTGCCTTAAACCATGGTGCCCAAAATAGAGGGACAAGGACTGAAGATAGATGGACTACCGCTTCCCTATTGATGGAAACCATACCTCCCTTAATGCAGCCCAAGAGAACCTTAGTTTTGTGGGCTTCCACATCATGCTGCTCATGTAATGAGCTCACAATCCATTAAGATCCTCAGAGTTTTTTTTTTTAAGAACAATTGCTGTCTAAGCATGGATTCCTTATCTTATTCTTTGACATTAATTTTTTGTACCCAAGTGTAAGACTTTACATCTATCCCTACTGAATTTCATTTTACTCGATTTAACCTAATTCTTTAGCCTGTCAAAATCCATTTGTATTCATTTTCTGTCATCCTGTATCTTCTGTAAGATACCTTTCCCAGCTTTGTGTCATCTGCAAATCTGATGAGCATGCTGTCTACTCCTTTATCTAAGTCATTGATCAAAAAAAATATTAAACAACATAAGGCCAAGTATAGACCCTTAAGGTACTACACTGGAAACTTGCTACCACATTGACGTTGAACTATTAACTACTTTTTTGGAGTTTGGCTATCTGACTAGTTCTGAATCTGTCTAATTATATTATTATCTAATCTACATCTCCTCCTCTTTTCTACAAGAATAATACGAAGTACTTGATAAAAAAAAACTTCACTAAAATCTAGTGAAGCTGGATTTCTATAACTATACCTATACTATATTTATACCATTGCCCTCATTTAATAATAATCCTGTCAAAACAAGAAAACAGGTTAGTTTGGCATGACCTCTTATTAATTAAGCCACACTGACTCTTTGTAATCACTATTTCCCTTCTAGAAGTCTCCCAACCATTTCTGTAATAAGCTATTCTAAAATATTCCTGGGAATTGAAGCGAAGCTTGCTGGTTTTAGTTCGTAAATTCTGTCTTTACTCCTTTTTGAAAGTTGGGACGTTTGCCCTTCTCCAAACTTGTGGTACTTCTGTTTTCCATATTCTTTCAAGTATCACTTTTAGTGGCTCTGCAATCGCATCTTTTGTTTTGTTTTGTTTTGTTTTTCCCCCAGTAACCAAAGATGTAGTTCTTGAAGGTAGCTAGGTAGCACAATGGATAGAGCACTGGACCTGGATAAAATGAAATAATACTTGTAAAGTGTTTTAACCTCTGTCTGCCTCAATTTCCTCATCTATAGAATGAGAATTACTAGTAGCACCTATCTCCCAGGGTTGTTGTGAGGACAAAATGAAGCAATACTCATAAAGTGCTTTGCCAAACTTGTTGCTCATCCTTTGTTTTTGAAGAGGACCAATGACATCATGGGTGGGGTCTTGACTCTTGCGTGAACTGAATTTAAATGAGGCAGAGTTGCACCAAGTTGTTAGCGTCACTCTCTCTGCTAGAGTCACTGAAGTCCAGGGGCAAGACAAAAGTCAAGACAACTAGTGATCGCTTGGCATGCAGTGGATGATTTCGGTACCATCAATGTCTGACTGAGCTCTGAGTGCTCCACAGCGCCCATTTCAGCTGTCTTCGTGGCCATCGGAACAAATTGTTCTCATCCATGCGTGTAAAACTTAAACTGTTCTATAAATGCTAGCTGTTACTGTTGTTGTTGTTATTATTATTTCATCTAGGTTAGGTGACCTGACCTGATCAAAGGTATTTCGGGGCTCTCTTCCTATCTCTTTACTTATCTTGGATTTCAACTCCCCATTAACAATTTTTGTTTTGTTATTTCTAGTGCATAAGCCATCCTCCTTGGCAGAGAAAACAGAAGGAAAATAAAAACTGAGCACTGCTTACTGAAAGGCCACATAGTATATGCATATAGAGCATTTTCTGTACAATGCACTTCAGTAGACTGTATGTAGTATGTAGGGTACTTCCTGCCTTCTTCTCTTTGTTATCCTTCTTCTCTTCTCTAGTTGACAATTGAACAAAAGACTCATTCCTCTTCATCTTATTCCGGGTAGGGGTGCAAACAACTTACTCTCTCTTTCTCTCTTCTGTTTTTCACTCTCTGTTTCTCTCTTTATTAGGGCTTGGGAAAGTCTGTGTGGTCTCATGTCAGGATAGGACCATTTAGTTTGGGAGAGGCAATCCATTTCTATATTCATTTCATAAATAATTGTGTGTATTCTATTTTTATCATATAGAAATTATTTCCAATGAATTTTTGTGTTTGTACAAGGCTGGAAATTTCCACAATAGACCATATGTTTGATAGTCACAATTTAATCTCTCTTTTTGGGGCAAAATTGTGCTATTCTTCACTAAAGGTTAGTCATCCAAGCCCCCTGTTAGTCCTGCTGCTAAAAAGGATATTTGACTCTTAAAACCTTTAGGGTTTTGCATCTTTGATAACAGAGCTTTGTTTTTTATCCTGTAGGAAACGGAAAGCCCTTGCTCTTTTAAAATATCTATAACTATATATTTATTTTTAGGACAGGAAGGTGATGTAGTCATACCTAAGCATTAGGAAATTATAGGAAGGGTGAGTGGATGTTATGGGCAATCAAGTTAACAATAGGTCAGACTCAGTAATAACTGTCCAAAGGCAGAAGAGGCTGCCTCAGGACAGCTCTCTGTCACTACAAGTTTTCAAATGAAGGTTAGATGACAAAGTTGAGGAGGTGATTCCTTAGGTCAATGTTGAACAAGATGACCTCTGAGGTCTACGTTTCTATAAAGGGGAAATGTGGACACTGAATATGTTTAGATGATGAGCCATCTGATCTGAGCTGCATTCTATGAGAAGACCCTCAAACCTCAGTGTCTGGCTTTGATTTCTAATTTCTGATGGACCAAAAATAACCTTTACTTAATGTCTGCAAAGAATCACTCAAGATAGGATTGGTGACTCAGCATTTCCTCAAAAATAGCTAGCTAGCAATGTCTCTTCTATACAGAAAGCCATTCCTTCTTTGACAATGATTTGTCCCCATGGGGATCAGTTTGTAAAACCTTTGCACTATTCAGTTCCCTATAACACCAAGTTGGCATGAAAGAGCATTGGATTGAGAATCAGAGGACGTACATTCAAATTCTGAGTATGCCCAGTGATCCTAGGAAAGTCACTTCCCTCTCTGGCTCTCAATTTCTTCACCTATAACATGAAGTTCTTAGACCAGATGATCCTTGAGGCCCCTGTGAATGTAGTGTATACACACATACACATACATGTATG